AAGTAGGCCTCACTGAATGTGAAACTTGTAAGGATGGATGAATATGAAATCTTTCTGTCAGTTTGCTGGTCTACGTGATTATATTTGTTTTATTTTTGTTGTATTTCCCTCATTGAAGCATGTTGTTTCGTCCACCTTACAGAACTCTTGTGGATATAAACAAGTCTTCACCTTGTAACAACCTGTGTCACTGTAACAGCCTTGAGTATGACCCCGTGTGTGGAATCGATGAGGTGTCCTACTTCTCACCATGCCATGCTGGCTGCACTAAAAGTACTATTAACGAGGGATTGAAAAGAGTTACCGACAGAGAGGTAGCAACAACGTTAAAGTGACTCCTCACTTTGCACTGAAAATTCGTCGGAAACTTGGTAACTGACCGACCTGTGGATTGGGCCGGCCGGCTGGCTTGCCAGCTGACTTGATAGACTGACTGACTATTAACCTGCAGACGAACTAACCAGGCAGTTGACTGGCTCGCTGGCTGACCTGATAGACTGACTGACTGTTCACCAGCAGACAAACTTACCAGGCAGCTGTTTGGCTCGCCAGCTGACCTGACAGACTGACTGACTGTTGACCAGCGGACGAACTAACCAGGAAGCTGACTGGCTCGCAAGCTGACCTGACAGACTCATCGACTATTGACCAGATGACGAACTGGTCAGCCGGGTGGCTGGCTGATTAGCTTGCTGGTTGGTCTGTCGGACTGACTCCATACTGAGTGGTTCACTACTTAGCCGATTAACCGACAAACTGACCGATTAGCGGACCGATTAAGTGATTAGTGGTAACTGACAGACCAATAGATTTGTGTATGTAATGTTTTGATTGTTTGGTTTTCTCTGTTATGCTGCAGATGTATGAGAACTGCCGTTGTATTGCGCCTCAAGATAGGACCGTTCGGCATGGTTCTGCTCTACAGGGAACATGTGACCGAGACTGTAAGAATTTGATTCCATTTCTGTTCGGCGCTGTGGTGTTACTTACCTTCAATTTTATGAATGCCACGCCCAACAAAACTGTCGTGTTGAGGTGGGTACTTAAATGTTTTCATCGTGTCAAAAAGACATTTTCTATCTGTCGTCAATCAGAATAAAGATATTTCCCAACCAATCGTTGCAATTTCAGGTCATCTATGTTCTGTTTTCTTGAATGAAACAGTTGTCTTTATGATGAGGATCTCATCTTTTTCTTATTGGTTTATATTTAATCTGTATGTTTTTAGATCATATTTGTTTTATTTCTTATCTGTGTAGTAGCTTTTGTTGTTTTGATGTGATCTTCATCAAGCTTGCGTAATCACTGAGATCACGCATTTCGAAGCGGTCTCAAAACTTCTCGACGGACTGCTGACTTAAACTGGAATTACAACACACGAGAGGTTGCACATGGCCTTTGCAACAAACGGCAAAAGTTGAACTTTGTGTTGCTTGCACTTGAGTGTTACATTTTAAAAAACAAGCAAATTGAGCTGGAGTTCGATCTCGCCGTAATCGTCATGCTCAAACTCGTTAAAGTTGTAATTAGATTTCATTAGGTTGTCCAATAATATCTGCTAATAACTGCGAACTTTACATGTTATTTCAGATGCGTACCAGACAATCAACGGACATACGCTCTAGGTCTTCAATGGCTATTTCTGTGTATGTTTGGTTCCATGCCTGGTCCTGTATTATTCGGTGCATTTATTGACAAGACCTGTATCTTGTGGGAAGAGACGTGTAGCGGCAGAGGCAGCTGCCTGGAGTACAACAACGAACTTCTCAGCTATTTGTTGGTAGCAGCAGGCCTGTTCTTTCAGAGTGAGTCTGTATTCCTTCTTTGTCTGGGCTACCCACGTATCTGACATGCTTAATAAAGCCTGACGGTTAAAATAGCTCAACCTAATATCGCACTCTGATTCGATGCGTGCTGATGTACATCTTATCATGTGCAACAATCATGTGCAACACGCGTGCTGATGTACATCTTATCATGTGCAACACGTTTGCTGATGTACATCTTATCATGCACCGGGGTGATTATTCTCCAAAAAGCATTTTTTATTTCAAAAACACTATTTGTGAAGATGATTATAATTTGATCCGCTATTTGTAGTTCTCTCAACGGCTCTATACTTTGGTTCGTGGTTCTTCTGCAAGTCAAACGACCCTCTCACCCCCAATATACCAGATGTAGATGATCCAGCCTCGTCTCAAACTCGCCTCAGTCCTCCACAGACACCAGTGCCTGGTTTTGAATTCCGCCTACAGCGCCGAGCAGCTGGTCAGCAGACTCATCCAGAGGGAGAAGCTCTTGCAGAAGCTGATCGTGACAGAGAAAACTCATCCCCAGTTCCTGGCTTCGCACGGTATGAAGCTGATAATGACAGCGTGTTCCTATCATTTCGGAATGCAGGTGAAGAGAGCCAAAATAGTTTTCTCTCAATCGGTCAGATTGAGTCTTCGATTTGAGATAAATTGTACGTTGTGTTAAAACAGATACAAATTTTAGGTTGTATTTTCACATTGCAATTGATAAATTAGCACTCAAAGAAGAAATCCATCGATGTATGAAAAAAATAATTTCCTTACGTTTTCAGATTCTCGTACATCCTTCTTCTTACTATTTGTAAGATCTCAATTGTAAAAGTCAAATTTTTAGATCAAAAACAAGTCCACAAGATTCTCGCCAATTATCAAAACATATTTGAAGAAAGAAAAAAAACATGACGTTTTCTTGGCATTTTGTTCATCTACAGTAGCTTTATAACCGGTGCTTGGTCAAACGATGTTTGTTCATATCGAACTTACTAACCATTCGTTCTTTCAGGGGGTTTTGAAGGGAAACCCTCTTTTAGCTCACTTGGTTTCGAGTGAGGCCTAGGTATGGTAAATTAAAACAAATTATTCGTGTCATAAAAAGATTGTCCAACACGATCAATTTGATTTTAAATCGAATTAATTGGTCAATAACACTTAAAATGGTAAATAAAAATATTAGAAATTATTAGAAAGATAGAGTAATTATTATATTGATGTCGGTAGCACATCATGTATTTCGTTTTTTCAATTTTATATTTGTTACTTTAGTTATTGTTCTATTTTGAGGTTTTGTTATCTTGGTGGGATTGACAATCCGGTTTTGTACATTTACCTATCGCCTTTTTTTTAACAATGCTTATCATTAAAATTAAAACTTTCTCGATTGTGATTGGTTTAAAAAAACTCCTATTTTCCTCAAATTCACGTGCGGAAAGTTTGTTATTGGACAGTTCAATAAGCCAATCACATTCAAAGATGTAGATTAAATCAACCAATCCAAAGTTGTAGTTTGAACCTTGGTTTCAATCAGCTAAGAAACAGTATACAGAATCTAAACTGGAGCTTTCTCCAAAATGAAGAATTTTTTCCAATTTTAGGGCGACATTTAACAATTTATACTCTTTGGTCAGTTTTTCAATGCAAATTTTCCCTTTCTGTCATAACTTGGCTATTCTTCTATCTCGGAAATTGTAATTTTTATGATTAATTGGTAACAAGACTTCGCGTTGTCCAATTCAGTCTACAATCATACTCGTGATAAACAAATCGCACCCCCGCTGCGCGGCAGTCCGATATTGTTTTCACTAATATGATTACAGACCGAATTGATCTCCACTCAGTCCTATTGCTAATACATATTTACCAGTTTATTTTTGATACTAGTAACAGTTTAGGTTCAGATAGGTAAGTGAGGGTGTGTCAGTGAGGCGTGATATCTCAAGAGTGGTTATTTTTTTTCTAAAATCTCTTTTGGGTAGTATGGAGCATCATATTCACTGTTTTAATACATCAATACTGAGCTTTAAGATGATTTAAAGATCACTAAAGTGCGTTGAAATTCTTAAAATTTGGATTCAATTTCCTTCACCCCTAGGGCTCGTCAGGGGTTCTTGTGCTGGAAATAAACTTGATATTTTTGACGGTTAATTCAATAGGTGAAATGTTTTTCTACTGCTCTATCATTTGCATTTCGAGAACCGCAATTTGTGATTTCGTGGTTTTCTGTACATTTTTTTACTTTCCAATCTTTAAAGGACTTTCATTTACTTTGTAGAATTTGTCACTGTGTATAGAACCTATGGGAAAACATCGTACATTGCGATTTAGTGATTAATATGAAATTTTCTTGTATTTTAACCTTCATGTAAGCAATTTCAATAATATTGTTAACGAGTAAAGCACGAGCCTGCATTATTAGCGTGTGTTATTCACTGAAAAATGGTCCTTTCTCTGTGTTATCTTACTGGTCAAAAGTAACAGAGAATGTTCATAGTTTTTTTCTAGTTATGAGATTGTTTTTTTTCCTTGGATTTTTAATTTTTTAAAAACGCGCTCGTCGATAACGTGCTGGTTCACTGTTTTCATGGCCTAATCTTTCTGTCGTCTCTTTGAACTTCTGGCCTTTTAATTTTTTGTTTCACTTCGGGCTCTAAGTGTGGAATGCCGCTATCATGCCATTACTAAGGCTCGTGCTTTTCTTGAGTTCAAGTTTACTGGTTTACCTGAGGTTCAAGTCAGTGGTCTTGTATGAAGGGCATGCGCGCCGGCGCGTTGGGCCTCTCGGCCACTTGTCTTTTACACCTTTGCTACCAGGAAATGGCTCAAATTATTAGGTTTTTATTCAGTTGTTTTCTACAAGTTGATAAAATAAAAGTAAACTTCCCTACCAAGACATTCTAAGCTGTGTTTTTTGTGTGTATGTGAGTGCGTGCATGGGTGCATTAGTTAATGTAGCTCGTTTGATTTCTTGGGGATGGCAACGTTTCAGAGTTAATTAACCTACCAACAATTTGTGAGGGAGTTCTCCGTTGAGTATAACTAACTGTTTCTGGAACTAACACTTGGGAACACTCCGTCATGATTCTGCTTAGGTAATGATTCAATCTAAAAAGCTGGGAACCCTGTTAGCAGTCTGTTACGTTTTGGGAAAAGGGAATTTTTAATAGAAAAGAACAAAGGAATGAAATTCAACAGCACATTTATTACTGAAAGGCTCTAATGATTACAATACTCATTATAATTTGTCCAAAACACTTGATTAATACTTTCGTTACTTATGTTACATCCATTTTTAAAAGGAAAAAAATATATTTCACTCGTGTTAAAAAGAAGTTTGGAATCAGTTGAGCAAAGTAGTATTTAGTAAAAACCTTTGCAAAAAAATTAAAAATGTCCATAAAATGTTACCAGGCAATCCAATTTCATAACGCAATCTTCGTAAACACAACTTGTACATCGTTCTTGGGGCGTGACACAGGAAGCCATTTGTATGTCAAATCTTGACCGGGTACCAGTTCCCACTCGTATGACTGGAGAAGATGTTTTGCAAGAAGCTGCAAAAAATTAAAAATACTAGCTTCGATAAAAAAACTAAATACGTAAAAAGCTATGATAATCCCTAACAGCTCAATTACATGGAAAAGTACTTTAAAACTTCACCCTTGCTGGACAGTATTTTATGGACCACTGTCTCATTCACAACCATTCTTTTAAGATGTCACGCAATGGGGGAAGTGTGACATTCTTAGGAATGGTCGTTAAGAGACTAAGGGTTCTGTTCACCTTTTCTTGATCCTGAGCACAAACCTTGATAATCTTGTGAATAAACTTATGCCCTATGCACATCCGAGGACCTGAGCCAAATGTCCACACTCGATCCCTGTCTAACTGGTTACTGTAGAACAAGAAAATAGCAAATTACAAAACAAGACCTAACAAAACTTTGCAGTTTAAGTTAAAGGAAAAAAATAATGCCATGGAAAAAGTAAACCAAGAGGGAGTTTTCTTTTAGCAACCTCACCAAGTGTCCCATCTTTCAGGTAAAAACTTTTCAGCTTCAGGAAATATTTTTGGATCACAGTTTGCTGCTCTTGTGAGAATTCCCACATAGTGACCTGCTGGAACTTTATAACCATCTATTATGACTTCCTGTGGGAAGAAGAATAACCAAAGGCAAAGAGTTAAGATTCGCTTTCAGTAACAGTGGGATCATGCATCTTCACAACTACAATTATTTCAGTCACTTATTTGGTTTTTGTAATCTTCCTTTTATCAAAACAGTCACAACAACCTCCATCATTACAATCTTCATTGCTTCACCTTCACCACCACAGGACTGAATAGAAATTTTGATAGAAATTTAACACAGATAGTGGTTGGTACATCATTTAATGAGCTGTTACATAGCTACATCTCCCCAACCCTTTCCCCCTTAAGGCCAAATGCTTTTGGTGTGATAGTGGACATAATCAGTACTAACAACATTCTGCTTTAAGGGCAATAGACTGAGTTTTCAAACCACCTTAGTTTAACTTAGCTCTGGATTAAATCAAGAGAATTGCAGTCTTAAATACGTGAAATGCTCACCTGTTTTGCTAGTCTTCGTCCACCAAGAAAGGGTGGCCAAAGTCGTTTTATCTCTAAAAGCACATTTTCCAGATACCTATCATCCTTGGCTGCTTTGATTCTCTTCTCAAGCTGGAGAATCAGTCACAACAACACATATGAATTGAAATTGGTGACTTAAACTAAACAGAGAAGACAGGCCTCCACTGGCTGACTGACTGACTGACTAACTGTAAGGGTACTGGTAAGTTTCTTAGAAAACTGTGATGCTGCATTGGTGGGGGAGTATGGAAAAATAATTCAGTTTTATCAATTAAGTTGATAATGTTAATTGGCCACGGTAAAGAGTTTCTAAAGCTGATGTTTCAAGCATTAGCCCAATGTCAAGGCAAATGAATGAGTGACTGACTGTCTGTCCAGCAATCAAATTAGAGTTATGAGAGAAGTCAGAACACTTGAAATTTGTTCTATTGATCTCTCAGTTGACGCGATAATAATTAAAAAGCCAAGTCACATGGCCTACGATGTTTTGCTGCAAACTCATACACAGTCTCCAGATCTCTTTGACCAACACCTTGATGTTATAAGCATTTTACAGTCTCCTTCCTTGTTCTTTTTCATTTGTCTCCCAACTGGATGAGAGCCTGAGGGATGGCTTAATCTTTGAGCTTTTTTTTTTCCAGACTTAAGGGGATGATAAAAACCTCAGATAAACAAATTCAGCTGCTCCCATGTAGATCTTCAATAATGTACTTACATTCTCAGGCTTGGCAAGCTCAATGCAAAAGGAGGTCATGAGGGAAGCCAATGCTTTGGGAACCAGAGCTGACACAAATAACAAAATGTGATTTGCCATTTCAGTCATGGATTTAAATTCTGATTCTCTCATAACATTTATGAACCTGAAAAAGAATAGATTTCTCAATAAAGATTTTGTGAAATGTATCAGAATCATTTTTTCTAACATTATAACTTATTTACAGTACAGCTCAAAGGTACATGCCCAATGCATGTGCAAAACCTTTACACACTTTTTGTGTTCTGTGGAAAAGCATGCATCAAAGGGCCTGTCTTAAGCACATTTTTGCTTTTGTTATTTAACATAGTAACACTACCAAAATCTCCATGGACGTACTCACCCATTCTTTTCCTCTGAGAGACGTCTACTGACAATTGTCAACAGATTTTTCTACAAAACAAATGAAATATTTGTTACAGTTGAACTTCTAATAAGCAGTCACCCACAGGGAATGGTGTGGTGACTGTTACATACTGGTTCTACAGAATAGGACTACTATAAAGAACAACAAAAATGCAATATTTTGCCCTAATTGACTTTGTAATGTATAGACATTTCTAGAGATACTACCAACATTGATTTTGAGAGATAAATATGGATTAAATTTTATTTGAAAGATTATTCGTAGTGTTATCTGAATGGTCGCGCTCCACTTGACAGATCAATACAGGTGAAAAAAAATCCAAACAGGCTGTTAGGACTCAGTAAAAGTGACCATGACTGCTTAGTGAACATTACAGTAATTAAGAGGAACAAATGTCAGGAATTTGAAAATCAACCACTAGATAGACAGGATGACTGCTTAATACAGTGCCACTAAGCATAGAAAGACTGTGGAAAAATTATAAAATTGCATTAATTTAAAAATATTTGATTCAAAATGACATTTCTTTGTGATAAAAATTTTTTCCTTATTATTGTTTACTTTTAAACCAACCTTTTGTTTGATAAATAAAGGGCAAAAGGTGCGATGTGATTGACTATAACAATTATAATTGACATGAGATATTAATTCTGGCAAACAATCTATTGTTTATTGTCCCTTCATTAAACAAATTATTTTACCATTTGTCTGTGCAGTTATTGATCATAGATGACATCAAATGCTGTAAGAACTAGAAAGTAGCACACAAAGTGCACTTTATCATGTCACTGATGTTCATAAGTTGTGATCAGTTACTGTAAACACATGCAAGTTGTGCTGCTGTTTAGACTGGTAGTGAATCACACAGTATTGGATATTACCAGAGAATTAATTAAACAAAATAATACCTTTGCTACCATTGCCTTACTGTATCCTGATTTATAACCATAAACATTAAAAGTCACTGGAACAGAAATAAGCCCTTGAAAAAAAAGGCACATTTATCAGTACTGCCTAAATCCCAACAATAAATTTTGATCACAATATCCTCAGCTGGCAATATTTTTTCAATGTAAGTATCATATGTGCAAAACAAACACTTTGATCTCACACCAGTTGTGACCAAAGACAAAATAATTATCTTTGAACTTATTTTACCATTAATGTCTTGCTAAAAAAGTTAGTCAGACAAATGACTCTCCCAGAATGCTGAAAATCACTTCCCAGAGAGTTTCAAATTTTGATTCCTTTGGGAGGAGCATGCCCCCAAAACCTCCTTGTTTGAATTTGATTCAACTTAGATAAATTGCAAACTTTAAGGCTATTTTTAAATGACATGATTTGTATTATGAAAGAAGTTTTTGGGCCATTGGTATGATTTTCATTTGAAATTCATCACATTATTATTTATTTTGTAGGTTGTTCCATAAGAAAAATTTACATCATCAATGACTTACCATGCCAGTGAGTTATTGTGAGCTCAACAACAGATTCTGCTTCCTTTTTGGCAGTTTCCATTTCCAGTCCCAGGAATAATCGCAAGCATACCTCAGTTGTGAGCTGCTTGAACAGCTTATATGGAATAACAATGTCATTGTCTTCAATACTATTCAATAATCTTGAGGACACAACTTCCACATCACCCATGTAACGGGTCACTTCTTCAGGCCGAAAGACATTGTGAAGAATGTTTCTTAGCCGTATAGCTTCATCATCACTGTTAAAAATTACTAAGTCTCCATATAAACTATACATATATCCAAAATCTTTGTAGCCCATGTCAAGCACACCATCCTTATCTTACAAAAAAAAAAAAGAAAAAATGTACTTTAACAGGTTGAAAAATCAAATGTGGGACAAATATTTTTATCAAGAGGAGAGAACATAAGGGTAGAGAGGGGGATTTTGAGGAGAAAAATGAATAAGAAGTGAATGAGATTCTAAACATTTAGCATCATCTTAATAGTAATTGGAAAGAACTACCTAACATTCTACACTCCAACATCAGTATACATATTCTCCATATTGTTTTAGAGACATTTCCAAAGTTGCTGATAAGGAGAATTTGTTCAACAGTCAAGAGCCTCTTAACAGTTGGAGATCATTTCCTCTATACTCCTGACCCTTGTGTGATTCAGGGGTGATATTTTAAGGATAAATTAAATGCTGGTCACTCTTAGCCATCAAAAGGTTAAGGTGAGCTAATAGAGACTACGACTAAATAAATACAATTCTTGTTGGACATAGATACAGTGGAACTCCACCAACTCAAACTCCTGAGGGAAACAAAAAATAGTTGGCTGATAGTAATTGACAGAGCTACCAGTGAACCAAGTCTGAGTTAGCAGGGTTCCACTGTAATGCAAATCCATTTGCAACACCTTCTAGAATTTCCTTGACTCCTTGATTTGAAGCAACAAGTACATGAGGTTTGTTCAGTGCTCGTACTTGAAAAACCCTTGAGTTACATGTTTTAATATTGCGTTGGATGAATTCTGCTGGGTTTCTGGCAAACTCAAGTGTTTTGTCACCAGTGACAGGCCAACCAAGACTTCCTGGTAAGGATGTCATCAAGACATGTACCAGATTACACAGGCTGCAACTAAAATTCACAGAATATATCAATAATAATGACCATATCAAAAATAATAAATATGCAATTAAAATCTTGATGAGATACTAAAACTAAAAGCATTATATATTTCACTTCATAAACTTTTCATTTTCCTGTGTGTAACAACAATGGCTTTTAGTTCAAAAGTTAGTCTGTTGTCTGGTTAATATAACATTGGAATAGTTTGTTCCGAGATGTGTATTGAACATTTTTATTATTGGAATTTTATATATTGTAAGTAAATTATGTACTGTATTGAATGTTGTCAGTAAAATGTTTAAAAAAAGATTATGACAACAAAAACAAAACAAAAAACTTTCCAGAAACCTTGCCTCATATTTGTTGGTATCAACAAGAGACATCAAATGTTCCGTACCATTAAGTTTAACAAGCAATAATATTACTGGTTCTTTGCTATACAATTATTTTATATACTATTAGATATATTTTGTTGATATTTATGCATATTACACTGGTTAATTTCTATCTTTCACTATTTTTATTCTTTTCTTGGTCATCCAATCCATATTTGATAAGGTTGAGAGCAAGTCTTACATATGAAATATAATAGTAATTGAATTAAAGTATATAATTAGTTATGACTATCATGCTAATGTGAGAGACGTGAACATAACTACACATTTATGAATATTTTCCCAACTCAAATAACATTTCTTCATTAAAGGAGAAAATTATTTCAAAATACATGAAAGACAACATTTAGAATGTAGAGAAAGATGTTTTTTCGTCTTGTTACGAGCGTGGGACAAAGAAACAATTCTGAGTTCCCATGAGGAACGCGGAATCGGAGCTTTGAGGTTCGATACCTCGTGGGGACTCAGAATTTTCTCTTTATCCCACGCTCGTGACAAGACGAAAAAACATCTTTCTCTATTTCTTTACCGAGCTCAAAACTTACCATCTCTGGACAAGGAAAATTACACAGGGGTTACCAAACAGTTCTTCTGAAGTCGTTAAAAATCGGCACAACTAAAAGAAATAATTTAGGACTGTAAATGCGACCGATCAAAGGTCACTCTTTAGGCTTTATTAAAAACCACAAATTATTTCATATAAACCATTTGACATAAAAGAAACTGTAAGAGGTAAGCTTAATATTTTCCTCGCATACATAATTCCGGTCTTCTAATTTGCGGCAAACCAGACCTTTGACACTAAAGTTCTTTTGATGGTAACGCCTCGTATAAATTCATTTGTTTCGCAGTTAGTCTACGGAATTTACCTTTTTGATTATTGTGAAATTTAACGTTGCTTGATGATTGTAAATCGAGTGTTAGAGGGTGACAAGAACCAACCTCACGATCGTACGATGTAAACACACCAGACAGAAGAAAACTACGCATTATAATTAACTAAAAGTCGCTATGTGAAGTTCTGTGGCAATTACTTGTTCTATTCGTGTTGGTGAACTTGCACTATAACGTTGCAGATGACGAGTATAACTCATCACAGGGACGAAGTCTTTGTTGTAAATTAAGACAACATATTGACCCATAGAAAGTATCCCAGCCTGTAAATTTTTAGCGTTAGGTCAAAAGAAAGAAAAATAGATTACCGTATCTCCTTTTTGTGTTTGCTTGTTAATGTCAAAATCTACAATGCCAAGTTAACTCCATGAAACTTGTGTCTGATACCTGGGGTTGTTCCTCTGTGTTCTTCAGACTGAAGAAAAACGCAGCGATAAGCGAACAAGAAGAAGATCGCCAGACCAATCAATTTGTTTCGCTTACAGCGGCTGACATACAGCGTTACATTATTAATTAACAGAGACGGAGGAACAACAACTTTCCCTTTGGCTCATTTGCATAATATTGCATCACGATCAATGTGCATGTTCCCGTTGAAACTCTAACAATGAGTCCGCTTAGTCAGCCACCATTTTAAAATTTTTACCCTCCCCTCTAACTGAGCACAGTCCTAGCGGGTCTAGCAGGGTGGGGTGGAGGACTAAGTAGACGACCGGTGTCACAGTGATATGTGTACCCCCGTGATATGTGTACCCCCGCACACATATCACTAGTGATATGTGTACCCCCTCCAAGATGGCGGCCAGTGATATGTGTATCCCCCACCCCCTCCCCTCCAAAAAATAAATAATTACGGCTAACTTGTGTTAATGGACGCAAATCGTTCACTGAACCATCTTCCACAATCAGAACTGTAAAGACACGACTCGCGAGTCCGACAGTTCTTATGGGCCAGTAGCAAACATCAAACAATCTATTGGAAATATAAAGGAATCGAAATTGTCATTTAAACAAAAATATATCTTAGGGATTCACATATCACTGGTGACTACAATCGTATCGGCTTTGTCGCCTGTCTAGCACTGAAATTACTTGCTACTAGCTCCTTTACTGGCTAGTACGTAAGTGCATGAAATATTTCACCAACTGACAGCAATTTTTATTGATTCCCAATCATATGTGTCATTGACAAATTTAAAAAGTACACAGACGACATCGTACTAGCCAGGGGATACGTATATCACTGAGATCTCTCGTTCAGTGATATGTGTATCCTCAACATATCTCGGGGTTACGCATATCGCGGAAATCGTAGTAAGTGATATGTGTATCCCTTGGTAAAGCAAGCGCTGTTGTCTTTCTAGCAAATTACTAGCTAAGCTTATATATGGCTAGTAAGTGTATTATTGATTCCAAATTGACAGACGACAGCGAGTTTCAGGGGATACACATAAAAGTGATATGTGTATCCCCAATACATCTTGGGGATACAATGTGGATACGCATATCGCGGGCAATAGCAGTCAATATGTGTATCCCTTGGTAAAGCAAGCGCTTTTGTCTGTCCAGCAAATTACTACCTAAGCTTATATATGGCTAGTAAGTGTATTATTGATTCCAAATTGACAGACGACAGCGAGTTAGTCAGGGGATACACATATCACTGCGATCGCCGTTCAGTGATATGTGTATCCCCAATACATCTTGGGGATACAATGTGGATACGCATATCGCGGCAATCGCAGTCAATATGTGTATCCCTTGGTAAAGCAAGCGCTTTTGTCTGTCCAGCAAATTACTAGCTAAGCTTATATATGTCTATGGGGCACATGTTTTCTTTGAAGCTCTAAAAGGCCCGGGTGCAAAGCTTCAGTGTTTTGTGTATCCCTACCAGGGGTACACATATCACTAGTGATATGTGTGCGGGGGTACACATATCACGGGGGTACACATATCACTGTGACACCGGCCGTTGAAACGGAGGAAACAAAATAAACATCAAGAAATTATTTGCTGAGATAGTGCCGGAAATTCCCATTTTGTACTTTAAAAATCTCCCCAAAACCCTCTAGATATCCTAAAACGTTTTAAAAAAATCTCCAAAATTATCACCGTTCTCAAAGTGAAGAACTCCCAGCCCCACTCCCGAAAAAATTAGGTGACATTCCTTCTAATCTGAAAAGTGTAAAACTGCTTACTCGTCTGTAAATTGAATCAAAATACTCCGAAACTAAAACAGCCACAGTTAATTGACAAATCTGGCAAATAATTGTTTCCAAATCCCCCAATTTCTTGTTTCCAAATCCCCCAATTTCTTCAAATCAGGCATTTTGATTATGAGCGAGATTAGATATCAGATATAACACTGTTGAATGCATGTACGTCGAGACTCAACAGTCACGGTACACTCACGACTCGGCTGGCGAGAAAACAGGCAACGTTGTGCTTCTGTGAATATCTAAATTAATTTTTACCGCTCCCGATCAGTAAAGACGAGTGGAAGAGGGGGCAATCGACCGACGATGGTTTCAGAATTTTTCAGTTGACCACAGATTTGACTGGGCTTTATATTTTGTTCCGATCACGTTAAGGTTAACACCTCCACTTTGGTTCAGTCTAGCTTCCATTCTGCTTCCTTAACATAAAATTGCCTCTTTGAAAGCATTATATTCACAGTAAAGTTAAGCTTCATGTCAGTGACAGCTTCAAGTATGATTGCTCTGGGAGAAGGATTTTTCTCTTTTAACAAGCGTGGGACAAAACAAATCTTGATTCCCATGAAGAATGGAACCCCAGACCTTCGACTTCCACGCTCCGATGCTCTGCCACTGAGCCACAGAAAGAAAGACAATGAATTTTGAGCTCGTTAATGAAATAGAGAGAGATGTTATTTCATCTTGGCACCAGCTTGGGACACTGAAATGTTAATTCTAATTCCCCATGAGGCATTGAAACTTTGACCAACATCTCTGCCCTGTCTCAGAGCCATAGCTGAACTAAGCCATAACTAGGTCTTGATTCCGCCTCAGATAGCGAAGAGTACAACATCTCACCTGAATAAAAGCTATGTATAGTAGTGTTTGACTAAAACCTTTCTGTTCCATTCTATCCTGTCTATTCTGTTTATGGTTGCTGTATTAATATCAAACCTTTCGTTTACGGTGAAAGAGAATCTTCGCACTTGACAGTAGACACCAAAGGAGATTTTAGTTAAGGCCAAGGCAACGAGTTCCGTAAAACAATCTTTTATCATTCCAAATCATACAAAAAATTCGGGCATTACATTAGGTTTGTATGGTATGATATAAAATAACACTAGAGAAAGCACCAACTACTTCATTTTGCATCATGATATCCTGCTATTTATGCCAATAGAACAAAATCAAGATATCGTTCCCTTTGGTGTTTTAACTAATCACATTTACGGTCAGGGTAAGTAGATCTACTTCTAGCTCGATACAGGCTCATAAATGAGGTTTACGGATGAGATCGAAGGAGACTCAAAACTCCTACACTCCTGCTTTAACCTCGGGTGGGGGAGGAGGGGGTGGGGGGGAAAGAAAGGAAGGAAAACAATTAAAAAGAGAAGGAGAAAAAGAGGGCCTGACAGTCCTTATCCTTGTGCTTAACATTCGGGCTATCGAACTTCCTTGTTCCGTGACACCCCTTTGAGACTCTTGGAGAGAATATGGGCTATTCCTCTCAGCACCTCTGTTTCAGGAGGCTTCTTTTGTCACTAACTACATACAAGAACCGTCTGAGCTTCCTGAGCCGCAAATCCCTTGCAAACACTTTAGAATTGTCCATACGCCGAGTGATCTGAGCTATACAAAGTGGACTACTGGGGCTAACCAGTCTGTTACCCCATAAGGGTTTTTTGGTCACGACCCTGATAAAATTTGCAGCTCGGAGTTAACTAATTGTTCGGAGGAAAGGATCACACGTAACGCTTCGTTCCGATTACATTTACTATTTTAATTCATTATTTTTTAGTTTTGTTAGGTCTATATTCTTTGAAACCTTGTGCACGTTTAAATACTTTGCTCTCATTATCCACTTGAACATGCGACTAACCATGTCAAACGTGTCTCCAGCCAGACATAATTTTCCTTCAGGGGGTATTATCTTCAATCAGATTCACTCTGTTTTGCGATCAGAGGTCGGCAACTTTCATCATTACTGATGGAATTTCTTTGCGCCATTGCTATACGATGAAGCAATGATTACAAAAAATGTTCTAGATGTGTCGAATAAACTGTTTTCGAGTCTCGAAAGCGATCACCTAAGCGTTAATCGTTAATAAAAAAAAAAGCACAATTGAAAAAAAAAAACCAATGCTGATGTACCAAAAAAGCAGTAGTACAGAGAAGATATCGGATACCTTTTTTCACTGTGATACAAAACCACAGCTCTCACTGATATCCTTGATACCGTTTTGCCACTTCAGTTGTTACTTCTGAGACGCACGAGCTTTCTGCTTCGCGTCACAGCGAACATGCCGTTGGTCATTGAGCTATTAATAGAACGCACGTAATACTGCGTATGTAAATACACCGTACGTCCGGGCCCTGATTCTTTGCTCCCAAAGACATGTTCCGTGACGAGAAAAAAATGGGGTTCGCAGGAGACGGAATAATTACCAATATTCCAATCAGGTTCAAACACTTAAACCCTCCTCGTTCTTGCATCAATACCCATATTCTCTACACTCTTCTCTATACATTTCCTTAAGTACTGACAAGGAGAATTCGTTTAACAATCAAAGCTTCTTAGGTTGGCGATCATTTCCTTTAATCTCACGATCTTAATGAAAGATTCAGCAGTGGCAATGTGAAGAGAAATTAGATGCTGGTCAAAATGCTCATTCACCACATCAAGATACATTGTAGATAGCAAATTAACGCAAAAAGAACAGTTTTCGAACTCTAGCGAGAGACGACCACAGAGAAATGGAAGGCGAAGGAAGGAAAGCGAAAGTACTGAGATTAATTCTCTGGTCTACAGCTTGGATTTCGTAGGTTGACTGTGGTATGGTGGCACAAGTGGAAATAATGGAAGACTACTCTTAAATGCAGTGATGTCATCAATAACGGTCTGCTAAAAGGAGAAAAAAAACAGTCATTTCATATACAATTTGATAAATGTTTGTGATAAAAGTGTGGAGAAAAGATATTTTGATTAAGAAAAGGACATACCGCAGGAAGAGCATCAGCATCTTCGGTTTTCTCATTTTCATCGTATTCGTTTTTAGACTCGTTATCTGCATTCTTGGTCACTGAAAGAAACAAAAAGTCAAACATTATTCACTGCTGGTTGGATTTCTTGCTGTGAAAACAATGATTCTCACTTTTTCGTCAGTGGAGTCAGCAAGCTCCTAATGTGAAATATAGGTTCACATGACGTGCAAATAGAGCATAGTCCGCTTTGTTCATACAAGAAGCAAGATCAACTTTTTATTATTTTTATTAATGCTTGCTGCGGTTCAAGCTTGCAAAGGCAGGTGGTATGGTCTGAAAACAATAAGCAGCGTCAATTCTACAATGATTTTGATCGGTTCTTCACATGAACCGTTTGAGGACAGACATATATGACGTCATCATGGGCCTTTTTGTTTTGGTTCTTCTCATATTTTAACGCCATTTGTGATCCATTTCTAAACATGAACGAGGAAAATGGAATCTATTGATCACTTGGGAAAGACTTTCACATTTCAGTTACAAGTTCTACTTACTTTTCTTAGATAAAATATGGACGGCCAACTTGTGCCGTCTAGGTGCTTTAAAAGCAAGAAGATCCTGCAAATCCGAGCATGAAACATTTACATGTAAATTAGTATTGCAATAGTCGTTATGACAAGTCTGCACAGCTTAAGTTTTCAGAGTAGGCACTTTTCAAAGTTTATCATTACTAACAGTCTAATCCGAGGAATCCCAAAACAAATTAAGACACTCCTACCCGATAAAATGCCAGAACATCTTCTTTGGTGACAGTCATTAGAAATCCCACCTCAATGTTATCTGAAGAAGAAACAAGTTTCAATCAACTAAACCGTGACGCCAATTACGTTCATGAGAATTTTAATCTGGTAGATTCATATTTTCATGTACGTACATTGTGTCACGGTTTAGTTGACACAAGCCGACGGGGTCTCCAAATCTGAAATGTATTGGTTATTTCGACATGCGATCGCATTAGATGGTAAGTTACCGCGGTAGATATGCTCGTTGCTGATCGCAGCAACACAGTCGTATTGGCAAAGAATCTGGAAAAAATTCACCGTGTCGCAAGAAACGAACCGTAGAGCGGCCTGTTAGCTCAGCTTTTGGCCTCCAACGGCCCAGTAATGTAGAAACGTTAAGCCACTTCAATAATTTTACTCAAAAGAGGAAAAGTGCTGGTCTCACCCCTGTCAAAGTTGTATTGTCGAGAGAGGATTTCTTTCCAGTGTTTCATACATTCCGAAGATAATTTCTTGGGTTTGTCCATCCTTTTCACTGCAAGTGCCTCAATATGGTTTTTTAATTCCTCTTCCGACATTGTTTTGATGTAATCCTTTTGAAATTAAAAAATTGAACTTTGAGATGTATTTTTATCACACTGACTTTGTAAATAAGTATCCTGAAACCAAATATCAAACAAACCTCGATTCCTTGAAGGAAGTTTTCAACTCGTGAATCTAGTAAAGAAGGTTCTTTTTCAGATTGTATCAAGACACGGAGACCCTGGAGAGAAAAATAGCGTTAACGAATAACCAGTTAAAAGCTGAGATTTCCATACCTGGGAATTTAACCCTTTAACTCCCAAGATCTGATTGTTCAATCTCCCCTCTAGCTGCCACACATTTCATTGTAAACTAGTAATGATACTTTGGTGTTAGATCAAGATATCAACTTCTACCTGGTAAGTTTGACAATTCTGGTTACCTGTTTGCAAGGTATTGTATGGATATTATAAGGAGAAGTTACACATTAATCACTTCTTGAGGTTAACGGGTTAATAGAGAAGAAGAAAAAGTAGCCTAAGAAAAACACGATATAATTGTTAAGGACCTAATTGGCGCAAAAAAGGAAAATAACAAGAACATCAACGAGAACAGAACAACAATGTCTTCACCCTTCTTGGTTACACCAAGTTGCTAATTTTAATCTACTTATCACGCTTGGGATAAATCCGAAATAGTGTTAGCTTGAATTTGCAGAAAATTCATAGTAAAATCCATATCAACCTGAGCACCGTTACATCTTCTTACTCCACTAAAGACAATATACCCTGAAATGTAAAAAAAAAACAAACAAAAATGTTTATTGGCTACAACATGGTTAAGTGTCGCGAGTCCAAAAGCTTAACATTACCAGAGCTTATTCCGGTTCCCTAAGTTTTAAGCGACTTAAACTGTTGTTATTCTTCCAAAACTGGACCCAGTTGTTCGAAGGCCGATGAGCGCTAACCCAAGGTTAATTTTAATACGGGTTTCTTTATTCCTTAGTTCAAAAGCCTTTTAGGATTTGAATTTTCTTTATTCTTTTAAGAGCATCCAATCGTCAAATTGTAAAAAATAGGAAATTACACTGAATTTTCCTATAAAGCTTTTAGATCTGAAATCAGATTTTACACTAACCCTGGGTAATCTTAGCCCGGCCTGGGATGCTAAACCAACCGAAGATACGCAACCCCAACCCCAACCCCACACAGCAGTTCGCTTTGGTTCGAAAATGAGAAAATGAGCCCGCGCTCCTCCTCTAAGAAACGGCGTAAACAAAGCGTAAAACAGGCCGGTACTTGGGTAGAGTGAGGAGCAGGCGGTAAAGTGTCTTGCCGAAAAACATCGCAAAAATGACACGTCCAGGCTTCCAATCCGGATATTTAGATTCCAAAATATGTGCGCTGACTACCAAGCCACGGAGTGTGCGAGGTAAATATACATTTTATACAGTTATTGGCTTAGCATACAAACCTAACTGCTCTTGAGTTCTAAGAGTGTTAAAACATGGTTCACTGATGACCTGACAGAACAACTCCAGAAGTACATTACTTTTGGTAGCTTGCAGGTCACACTGAAAACGAAAATAAAATAACTATCTTCATTTCCTTCATTTGGATGTGTCGTTAGAATGCAACCCTTTGTTCCATCACAGTCCACTTTGTCAGGTCACAGAAAGCACATATATGGGCTGACCGAGGGTGTAGGCTGGTGAGGAAACCACCAAGGACAAATTGGAAAAGAAACGTATCAAACTGCAGTAAACTTGCATCACGTTTACATTTAAAACAGGACTTTTTAGGACAGAAACCACCGATTGAGTAAAAAAAAAGGGGGGGAGGGTGGCTTTGTATCCCTGCCCTGTCTCCTGTCTCCCCACCCCCCAAAAGTCATTCCATTTGCATGCAAGTGTACCTGATAATATATTTCCAAACTTGAATTATTGTGAACTTCATTCTGCACTTCAAAAAGATACGAACAACCTAGAGGACAGAAACAGAGATGAATAAGAAAGATATAGACAGCACTAAATACATTCACATATGCCTAGTTAGGTCTCAACATCGTTCTCAGTGTCCTCTCTCTTCTTCCCTCAAGAGAGGAGGAAGAAAGAGGAGTCTGGGATCCTGATCAGTTTTACAAACAACGATAAATCAATAACAATTGGTCCAATCAATCTCCACTAAAGATGAAGAGTAGTTACTTACTAACAGAGGAAACACAGAGTGATGCACATTTTGAAGCAACTCAAGACATTTTGCTGAGCACTTTTGGCTTCACACTTACCGTCTGGTAACTGTATTTCTCTGTGCCGAATTAACTGTAATGGTAACAAAGGTTTAGTCTTGCTGTCTTCTTTGATGATCTTTTCTACCAGCTCTGCGGTGTCCAGAGCTTCCTGAAACAGAACAAAGTCCACAATCATAACGGTTGAAGTTTCTCTTCCATCACAAGCATGTTATGTAGCCTGCCATGCCTCTTCGAGAAATTGACCTAAAAATACTGCATAAGTTATCAGTATGTACGGTTTGTTCAGAACGCTTTTTTACAAACAACTGGTGAGATTCAGGATCATTATTCTGTAATTATACGAGTGATTAACAAAATCAGACGACCGCGAAGCGGGAGTCCGATTTGTTAATCACGAGTATGATTACAGACAGAATTGGACGACACGAAGTCCTGTTACCAATTAATCAAAACTTTGACGAAATTTGAGAAATTGCGAGACAACAGTGCGCGCACATGACACGTTCTGTCCACTTACACAGGCATGACGAGTTAACTGTCCCTTTAACTGTCCTATTACAGTGTCCAATTACAAGCATGATGCGCATACTGTCCTATTATTGCTCAAATCGGGCTAGTGTTAACCAATCACGTTCGAGAATTCTGTTATAGTTTTGATTATTAAGAATATTGACGGAGTTAAAGACCTCAAGTGACTTTGGACTTTTAGATGTTTAAACTCACTTCTTTGGTCAAGTTCCCATGAAACAAACACTCGATATGAAGTCTCCCTAACAAATCAGGGATGAAAGCTTTCAGCTTCTCCAGTGTTACCTCTGACAAACAATCAACATCTACGATCAGTAACTGTAAATGAGAGTAGATAGTAAAGTTTTCATTCCAACCCCCTTCCCTCCTATTTCACGTCCCTCCTCCCTTCCCCACCAACCCCTCAAAACACCACTGTAATAGCAACTACTTTCCAGCGCAACGGCGTTTTTCCGCTTGCAATATGGCCGTTTGTATATCCTAGAATTTTTCATTAATTCGTTCTATTGGCCCACTTCAATTTTTTTTAAAATACAATTACTATAGTTTCGTTTTGATGAACTTCAAGCAAGATGGAACTGCTCTCAATAAATTGATTCTCACTCTCTGCATGAGAGGAAATAAAAAGTACTAAAAATACCCTCTAATGCTTCTAACAGGTCATCTTTATGCCACGCTAGTTCTTCTAACAAAAATGACGTGTAGTACAAAGCATGCTGATGAGGAGGTTCAGCAACAAAGTTCTTCAGTGCAATCTCACACTATAAATTGACAAGGAGAAAAAAAAACAGCGTTAAAGAGAGCAGCAAAAGAAATCTCCACAAACAGTAGAAAGATCATTTCGTTTTCTTGCCCAAGGGCTTCAATACTACCACGAAACAAAACATCAATCCAGTCTTAAGAAATCATTTTCAAAAACATTTTCAACATTTTCAACAACATTTTCAACATTTTCAATTGTCGTAACTGCACAGTAAATGAACCTGTACATAATATTAAATGTCTTACCCTTTCTTTGATGAGTGGAAACCTCTTAGGGTCTACTTGGAAGTTTGCCATTCTTTCGAAAATCTTCTTCAATAAAACAGGCTGTTTGTGGTTATATCCTTTGATACTTAACTGTAAAGTAACAGAGTGTGACATTCCCCTGAAATCACTGCCACCACAGTACACCATATCTTAACAACAGGTACTTCTCCTGACGAGCCCTTGTCAAAGAATAACTGATACGCTTCGCTGATTTTCAACAAGGAGAATTGTTTTGTAAACAGAATAAGAAAGACGGTAATTTTTGAGTTCCCATGAGGAATCGAACCTCAGAAAGTCGGATTCCACCCTCCAATGCTCTACCGCTGAGCCACAGAGACTCTACGGTGAACAAGACCCCTTACGAAGTTCATATATGACACGCGTCCTGCATGCTGATAGGATCAGTTATGTCGATAGCGTCAAGTTTTGTAAAAAGAATAGGAGAGATGGTAAATTTTAAGCTCAGTAAAGAAATACAGAAAGATGTTTTTTTCGTCTTGTCACGAGTCAGGGACAACACTCTCAAGGATGAAGGTGATTTGAGAAAAAGATGTGCGCTGTACTTACAAAGATTCCATACATGGTGTTTTCCAGTTTGTAATGCACTCCAGCAATCTCGGCAGCGTAGGCATACTCATTTAATGAGTCCTTCAGCAGCTCTACAAACAAGTGCGCCATGTTACAGTGGCACGGATCCACATACGCCAAAGGACTATAGCAGATACAGAACATCATCCGTAAATTATCAAATGAATAAAAAACTTCACTCCTAAGAGCTTTTATTATCCTACTACACTTAGTAGAGTACAAAGAACGCGCCAATCGAGTTCAAAATCCCCGGCGCGATATTGTGGGGTTATTTGGAAAGTTGGTTATTTCTCACTGCGAAAAAGAACCTGTGTGATAAAAAACCAAATGCATATGAAAAAAAGCAATTTGATGATAAATCATTCGACATTTTGGTCAGCCAAAACATACTTTTACATTAGGAGTAAGAAAATTGAGCTGAGGTAAAAAAAATTTTAGACTGACAAGCTACAAACTTGACTATAAACTTGTAAAAGGGTACACAACTTCAACAAATGAATACAATTTATGCTCAGGTACAGTACCTTGTTATTTCAAACAGAAGACATGACTTGGGGAGGTGGAATGTGTCGTCTTGTTTAAACCAAACTTTCAACAAAGAATCATCCTGTTAAGATATGAATATGTTGTGCCATAATGTGAACAGAATGAACAAGTGTCCAAAACAAATCAATTCTCTCATATGTTGAACACACCAAAAGAGGATATGAAAAGTATTACCAATTGAAGTGTGCACTGGCTAAAAACAATTTGAAACATTTACATTGTCCAGGTTTTTAAAATGTGTTTCCCCATTTAAGGAAAAACTAGGCATGTATCCACATGTATGTGTATCCAGTTACATGTATCCAGTTACCCAGTAAAAAATATACTGTACTGTACTTTACATAAATTACGCATACCTTAATGAGTATGGGAATGGATGAAGACTACAAAAAAGAAAGGTAAAGTTAGTCCAACCCTAATATTCTCTTTCAGACACATTTTGTTTCTTGTAATGTTTCCATGAATAGTGGATATGAAGATGTTAAAACTACACACAAAAACGCAAAACAACATGAAGGGAAGAGATGGATTATCACTACTTGGTCAAAGTTCTTGTTCCCTTTAAGTAATAACAAGAGGTATCTTATTGCTGGCAGTTTTGGACTTAATTGGTTGAGACGGTGGCATAAAATTTCTTGAACAATCACAGACCACATTTGAACATGCCCAGCCTGATCCAACATCAGTTCCAATGGTCAATTGAAAATTGCTCTGACCAATGCACAACAAAATCATTTTAACATACTGTAATGTAAAGTTGGTGGATTTAAATGAGATGCAGGTACAAGAGGGATTTTTTTCTCTTATTTTCCCTCATTGCAGGAGCTTAAAAAAAAGCAATTGCCTATGTCTGTTGCTGTTCATGGGAAAGTGTAAATACAGTTAAGAGAGCTTCAATTGTTTACTCTTAATAGTCTTCTTATGTGCAAACAACAGTTTCAACTCAGGGTGAATTCTATTGATGGAAAGAAACTGTCAATGGAATCAAATGAATATAAATATTTTAATTTAAAAGTAAATTAAGTTTTGATAAGGTAGAGTATGAAAAAATGAAATTATTGTTTACCATCCATGTTTCTATATCATCATCAGTTTGTTTTTTAAAAAATAAAAGCATAAATTTGACATTAACTTTCACCACAGTCAATTTAGTCCTTACATCTTGAGGCCTTTCCCTTAATGTAAAATCTGCGGGGATAAACTCATTTTCCTCAGGTAGTTGCAGAGAAGGGTTTAATAACACATTGTTCCACTCCTGAAAGAAAGAGTAAACTTTGTAAATCAGTAGTTTCTGTTAACATTATTCTCTTGACAGTTATTTAGCTCTGTCAGGTCAGGACATTCAATGGACAATGTTTGTGACTGTTACAAGGAGAGGATGTCAATTTTTTTAATTTTTCTTTTTTTGAGGGGGGGGGGGGGTGGTGGGGGGTTTCTAATGTTTGGACCCAGTGAAACAAGCAAAGATTGATTGAAGCTATCATGGCTCATCAATAAGTCTCATAAGACTGTGCATTAATTAGTAATCAATTATGTGACAGTCAGCCTTTTATAATATAAATAGGAACACGAGGTAAGACGTAATGAAACAATCAATACTGTACAAAATGGTAAACTATAACCAAGAATTTTTATAATCACTCAATATTATAAAGGAATCAACCAGATAAAGAACTTTTTTTTGTTACCTTCATGTACTCTGGAGAGATTTTGCTTTTAGAGTATTCTGTTTCATACCATTTTTCTACAAGATCTGTTTTGCCTTCAAAAAGTTTTGAAATCAGGGTTATTCTGTGGAAGAAACATGGAAAATATGGCGAAAAAAGTAAATCTTAAGAGGCTAGGAAACACAAAAGAGTATCTCAAGGGACTCCAGGAGTTGAAAAAGAGAGCAGTACAAGAGTTGCATAAAAATTACAGTTGAACCTTGATTATTCTGACTTGTTGGGGCTTAAGACAAAATAGTCAGGATAATCAAGAATATGAATATTAATGAGGAACAGCAACTGCTTCTTTTGCTTTTTGAAAGCAAAACAAACTCGCCTTTCACTTTTCAAGGCTGTAGTTTATAAAATATGGCTACGTATCTTGATCATGACTAATAAATATTCATGGGAAAATTGGGACCAGAGAAAAAGTCTGGACGATCAAGAAATCCAGATAATCAAGATCTGAATAATCAAGGTCCGAATAATCAAGGTCCGAATAATTGAGGTTTTGACTGTACTCTACTTTCTTTGGTAGATCAGCATAAACAATGTATACAAATTAATTATGTCTCTTTATGCATACAAAGGGAATGTTATAATCAATAACATCATTCTGAAGTTTGCTAACATTGCCATCTTTTATGAAAAACATTCACAAAGTTGTATGATTCTCCATCCATTTGTTTAATATACTTTGTTGGTTCAGATCAGTTTTCCAGGTGTTAACTCATTGAAGTATGAAACCAGCACAAAAAAATTTAAAACTTGTTCTTCACCACAAGATTGTTTGAAAGTTTTACTTATCATCTTACAATTAGCTGGGGTATTCTTGGCAAAACATAAACCTACTCCCAATATACACCTTAGGGAAAATAATTCAGCCACAGCTTGTGGTTAAATCCCTTGTAAAAACCTCAGTCTCCCAAATTTGATCATAATCATTATTTACCTGTACATCAAATTACATCTCACCTCACTTTTGATGGCACAAGATGGGAAAGAATCATTTTAATCAATTCAGGTTTAAAATACTTCATTACAAATTGTCCTTGTAGGACATCATCTATTCCAAACTCCTGCAAAAAAATATACGGTCAAACTATTTGAGGTTCACAAAGCATTTCAATTGAGTGTTGTAAAGATAAGAACAATGAAAATATCTCAAGAAGCCAATACAATCTCCAAGATTAAAACAGCCAACTGCCTATCAATGACTAAATAAGTAACACTTGGTTTTAGTTTTGCATCCAATAGATTGAAAGGATGGTACTAGTCTTCTAGAATACAGATTGGACCCAGAAATGCAAACCCAATGCAATAGGCCATTTTACAGTTGTGTACTTAGTTGCCAAGCCTTTGATTTGGAGTGAGGCTGAAGGTGACCTTGTTGTGTTAGAGACCAGAATCTAGTTAGCATGATAAAAAATTAATTTGCATTTCAAAAGCAGCAAGTTTTGTATCATAACAAGGTCACCCTTAGCCTCACTCCTGTTCAAAGGCTTGGCAACCAAGCACACAACTGTAAAATGGACTATTGCTGATTATTTTCAACTCTCAACTGAAATTTAGACTTGGTGGGGGATATAACACCCAGTGTTCCAAGTTGTCCCCTTTTTTGGCTGCCAAGGAAACTTAAGGGAAATGTTGGTGACTAAATTTACAAGGAAGGCTGCCAATTACCAACCTGTTGTAACCTTTCTTTTTTAATTATAGTTAATGCTTCAACATCTCAAATCAAAGTGAGACAAGTATTTTACAAAAATAATATTTAATGCTCTGAATCATGTTTTCCTTGATAAAAATGTGCACCTAACTCCTTGATGTTTCTGTTTCGTAAGACTTTAGAAAAATTGTCAGCCAGCCATGATGCTTAGTTCAGGCAAGGGGTGTAGCAAGAAGTATAGGAAGTCTTATAATATCATATAAAATGTCCTCTTCCCATTTTTTTCCTTCAAGCAACTTATGTTTTATAATTTGCTGACTTTAGGTCACCAAATGACTCTTTAAGAAAGACTGAGCTTTGGGGCTCAGAGAACACTGATCAGATATTGCTCAAATGAATTACAACACTTACATGTAAACAGCGGGCCAATGAACACACATAGGATCCAGGATTCTCCTTGTCCTTAAATTGAAATCTAACTTCACAAAGGGCCTACCAAAAGATCATGCCAAAAAGAACACCATCATAGGAATTATTTCTTTAAACCTTCATCACTAATTTCATTAATCTACAGATAAAAAAAATGGTGGAAAATGCCTGAATGAAGTAATTACTATCACAGTGAATTGTTAAGGAACAATGCCTTGCTTAATGTAAAATTTATATGCAGCATAACTATCAGTCTAGACTAGATTTAGCCTATGCTTATTTAATAGCTAGTGTTTGATGAAAGTACCTGGCACTCTTTAAATATCCAGTCTGGAGGTTCTTGCCTTCTGAGCATTTCCAAGTATTGAAATACACATGCCACTATTTCATACACATGGTCTTCAAAAAAATGACGTCATACATCATTATAGAGAATTTGAATCATTTTTAATTACAATGGGTGTTATAACATAGCTAGTAAATTTGTGTAATCAAATTCAATTGTGCAAGCGTGCTTCATATTCCTATTGTGCACACTCATGACGTCAGTAAACAAGTCCCTTGAGAAAAAAAATTTTCCATCGGGTTGAAAATGTTATAAAACAATTGGTTCATATGTCAGCTGTCCGTTCATCAAGATATGAAGCACTTGGGAAGTTTGGAGAGCACTCAAGAAGCTAGAGTTGCTCTCGGCTACACAACTCTTGCACATCTTTCGTGCTCTCCAAACTTCCCGCGTGCTTCATATCTAGATGAATGCATGCTGATGTATGAACCAATTGTTAATTTAAAGTTATAATTCAGTTTCAAATCTTGAAAACCTATTTTGTTGTTAAATGACATGTCCAGTGTCACCATCAGCTCTTTCCAAACAAATAACAAAATTGAGGGATTACCCTCAAAATTTTGGAAACAATTGCATCTTCCAGAGTATAATGTAATAAAAGTGACATGTTTTCCAATTTTTTTAATGTTAAGTAACTGTTGTAACTACAAGCTTTGATGTGTTCATTTCAGTGCTAAAAGGCCTTCATACTAGGAAAATCAACCAAATAATAACCAAATAAAAAGGCTGACATTAATAATTATCAGAAGAATAAAAACAGATTATAAGGGCAAACATGAATAAAGTTAAACATGATTACCTTGTCCCTCAGATGTGAGTTCCATGTTACAAATAAAGAACATAAAACCCCTAGCTCCACTTGCTCCTCCAGCAACAAGTTCATTCACCCAGCCTGTTGGAGTAATTGCCAACTGATATTAGGAAAGTTATCAGTTAACAACTGCAAATGACAAGATGCAGTTCACAGATCTAACAGTTTGTGAAAGAGATACAAAGTCTAGATAATAAGGCACTAGCAAAGATCTTGAATTACCCTTTGGAAAAGTTACACAGGATTTAATACTTTACCAGTACAAATACTTTGTACAAAAAAGTTTCAAACCTTTGCATTGCAAATGAATAACTTTTGTAATGATTGAAGTTGGCAGAAGCATCTGCCAGGTGAAGTGTGAATTGAATGCAGTGGTAAGTAGAATTAAAGAGTGAAAAAAATAAAATGATTATCATGATAACAGTAATTGAGAAAATTATAATTACAATTGTTTAAGAAGAGTCACTTTAGTGTTTGACCAATAAGTTGAGTGCTTTTCCCAAAATAAATGAACCATTTCTTTGATCTTGGGGTAAAAGCTGCTGAGAGGCCTATTCAATGATGGCAAAGATTTCATCTTAGCAAACAGCACAATATGGTTTGAACCCTCAAGATCTGTGAATTTGTGTGAGATATCTGTCTCCATTTGTTCACTATAATATTTGATAAAACTTTTGCATGATTTCACCAACATACAAGTAACACAGCCTGCACATGAGATTTCAAACTCTGCCTTTTTTACCACTTTTTTTTTTCATCTCTTCCAAGTAAGAAGTTATCATACAGAGAAATATTCCTGACTGAAACTCCAGGTCACTCTGTTGTCAAGTTAACCTTTAAAAGAATCTTCCATCATTTGAAAACTTACCTTTGGTTTTGAGGTCTGAAAGCAAACTTCCTTTACCTTCATGACCAAGGAGGTGAGATATGTAATGACAAGGCTGCAATCCAAACAATGTAAACAATTTCATAGCCAATAACATTAAGTAAAGATTTTTGTTAAATCTAACATTCACATTTTGGACATCTGACAGGCACTTTATTAAGATCACTACGAGTGAGAGTCACACAATCATTAGCACAATGAATGAGAAAACTTACCTTGCTCTCATAGTACTGGTTAACATCAGGGATTGGAAAGGAAATATTTAACTGCTTTATGTCTTTGATAGGCACCACTTTCAATTCTACCTTCAAAACAAATCAAGAGACCAGTATCAACAATAAATATAAGAACCTTGCAGTCATTTCTCCATGATTATCATCCCTATAGTTGCTCATAAATTTAAACAATAGATTCTACGTTGCCATGTGTCTGTTCAGTAATAGATCACAGATGATGTCAAAATGTGGTAAGGACAAAAGAGAAAAGAGTTGCACACAAGGCAATACAAGTGAGTGCATCACTGATGCTCTTACCACATTTCCAGGCCTTTCACGATCTAGTACAAAAGGTACTGCACAGACCCAAGGCAACATGGAATCTGTTTGTTTTATATGATAAAAAGCTAAATGTTGTTCATGGTGATGTGAAAAACAAATCATAATATGACTGTGTATTAGTAAAAGCTGGCAAATCACATCAATGAAAAGAAACAAGAATGACCCAAATCAATAACTCAACCAACAATCTGACATTGTAGGATCATCAGATACTCAGCTAATAATTGCAACACCAATTATAATTTAGATCAAATATTCCTTGTTACATTGTAACTGATTCTAGTATCACTAGATTTCTCTGCCCCTCTGGGATACAGAATCTTTCAGCATTTGTTAAAATGTGTTATCTAAACTTAAAAATCTCTTACCTGTACTTGCTCATCATCATAAGGATGATCATGAAACTCTGGAATTGATACGTTTTTATCTTCTGTGTCTGAAAAGAGCTTTATAACCAGGTTTGTCAGGTCGTCAAGAGAATCTAAGAAATGAAGTCATATCTCTTTCATCTATGTATCCTAGCTTTTAATTGTTAGCCAATGTTAAAAAGGAGTAACTAAAAACTCCTAGCACTTGCTGACAATGCACTAGAAAGGCAAGAGCACAGGTTTTTTCTTTAATTTCACACACAATTATGGGCCTCATTTGAACTTACATCACCTCTTTCACAATATTAAAATTTTGGGGACATTAATTATCTTTTTTCTGACAAAGAGAAAAATCTTCCAAATGCAATAAGGCTCTAAGGTGCTCAAAATAATCTCCTTTCATCAAATTAACTGTTTAAAAAGATGGATTAATAAACCACACATCTCTATTTACAGCTTCAATGCCAGTAATCATACAAAATTATTAATACTAATCACAAACTAAAGCAAGGTCACCTCCCCAAAGAGAGGCCTTACTATGACAACCACCAAACATTCTTTTGAACGATTCCTTATTTTAGCTTAAAAACTAATTTACAGATCACCAATTTTCAAATTGCAATAAGATGATTATCAAGTTTTATCTTCCATTCCCAAAGGAGTTTTTCAACAAATCAGTCAGGGTAGGTCCAGAGCAACCTCAGATTATCATTACTAACATTAGAGGTGAAACAAAGAGGCTTTTTAAAGAAGGATATGATGGTGCTATGGAAATATGTCATGTCATAGGAATTGGCACAGCTTGTGGAGCAATAATTTGATATAAGTTTGATATCATTTTCAAGGAAACAAATAAAAATTTTTGATGGCATCAATTCATCAATGTACATGTGGCTTTTAAAACAATAAATAAGTTTTAATAAGTTAGCCACTTTAAAACAAGAAAAAATCTGTGCATTCAGAGACATCTGATTCCTACTGTATAGGAAAATAAAACATTCCAAACTCAAGGTTTTTGTATGTAGCTGGGACCATGAATCAGTGTTGACCTCTGGAAGATACAAGCATGGGTCACTGCATGTTCCAAAAGTGGAAGTTAAATATCATACACAATATTTCACAATTATTAACTGTAATTATACCTAAACGCATATATAGTGATACAGTACCTCTGCCTAGAATGGTCAATGCCATGATATTAGCTGAGTAATATGAACTGTGAAATTTCAGTAACTCATCACGCACACAAAGTCCATTCTCTTTTGGTTTGACGTCAAGAGTAACTTTGTTACCTGTTGCAACAAAGATCCAAATCAGTTTTACCAGTTATGAAAATGTAAAAGATCTGGGATTAAGGAGTGTGCATAGTCCACTCCCAATCACCAGTAGCTGTTTTGGCTTGTCATAAAGCACCCCTCAGTCCACACCGATGGATGCCTGGCTTTTTAGAAACCATAAGTGATACATGATTGGTGTACTCCCTCATCCCTTTAACCTATAGGTTGGAGTGACCAGCAGCTAATTTCTCCTTTTAATATCACCACTGCATCACACATTAAGGTAACAAGAATAAAGAAATGATCACCAACTGAAGACTGAAGCATTTGACTACTACAAAAATTATCCTTGTCTGTAACTTAGCAAATGTATGGAGAACAGTATGGAGAATATGAATACTGATGTTAGGTGTAAAGGTATCAGTTACTAGCACGCCCGTGAACCAGAGGAAAAGAGATAGATGTGGTTCTGACTAAGGCAGCCACCTAAACAAAATATTTTTCAATCAAATATGTAGCAATGTGACTCAATCCTTTAATACATATTTTAATATGAAATCTACATCAACTCAAAATCATGTACCTGATCCAAATTTACTGTAAGGATGGGATGGACTGACTGAAGACTTGTCCAACTGGTTTAGTCTCCAAGAATCACTTAAGACATTCTTACAGTGTTCTAAAAAAGGAGAAATAAAATAAAACCATCCAATTAATCAGACATAATGGTTTCTAGAAATTTTTATTGATATTATAGTCTTGCAGTTTTAGTTAGTAATTTAGTATATCATACATTGATATGGTCCAGGTGAAAAGTCTAGATCATTTTCAGTATCTGATCAACTGCACACCTACTCCTCCCCTAACACAACCACAGTCAACTGGTCAGGATTTGTGTTGGATTAGGGGAGGGGAGGGGTAGATTGCACAGTTGCTCAGATACTGAAAACGATCCAGACTTTTCACCAGGACCACATCAATGTATGATATACAAAATTACTACTAAAACTGCAAGACTATAATGTCAATATAATTTGATATACTATGATATACTAAACTACTGCTTATAAATATCATCAATATCTTATTCTATAAACAATATATTTCCATTATTGAATAACGTCTTCACCTGAGTCAACAGCATTGACTTCTCTTTCTGTTGCATCTGAATTAAACAGTGGGCATAGAAAAAACTGTGCAAACCTGTAATCCAAACATACATCAAAGAGAATTCAAATTTAACATCAGACAAAACCCCATCACCAGAAGTTACTACACTCCTTAATAACAGAGTAGCGTGGGAGTAGAAGATGCATTACTTAAAATGGTGAACTGCCACCAATCATGTTACAAACCTCTTTGGGATACATATGCAACATTTGAGATAACCTAAAAAGTCATGTTCTTGAATTGTGGTTGAGGAACTTTAATCCATTTTATTTGCTAATGCTTTTAGATGTTCCCACATGATCATAAGCATGATTAATGAATGAATGACATAATTCTTAGTTGAGGCAGCAACATTAAAAAATAAAAGAACACTTTTTTTGCAATGAAAAATGGTAACACACACTGATCAATCAATTAAAAAAGAAAAGGAAAAAAGAATTGTATTTAAAAAAAAAAATTCAAATATCATGTCTCAAATAATTGGTTATGACTGCTATAATTTATAAAAAACTTAAAACTACTCTTGACTTACCGATCCAAGGCTTCCTGTAGACATTCATGTTTAATGTCAAAGAAAAAATTTGTATGTTCTGCACTAGTGAAAGCATTAGAGGATCCACCATTCTCACTTAAAAACTGCAAGGTACAAGTCAACATTCAAAAATTACTACCAGTATCCATAACAGACAACCAAAAATTGAGTTTTCAAAATCCAATCAGTTCCATCCTGTTGATGGTCACTTAAAAGAATGTGTAATTTGCCAACCTAATTATTTCCAATTACTGGGCACCACATTTTGAAAGGATGTCTTGAAACATTTATAATACATCAAATTTCTGGGCCAATAGAAAAGAACTGAAGTGAACTTCTTCAAATTACAAGCTAACTCGCTAAAGTTCTTTTTGACTTTCTGAAAAAAGAAAACCAGATAAATTCATAAAAGCACAAATAAAGTTCATCCAAGCTAAGATCTGTTAAAATTTGTCATAAACTTTGCACAGTCATAGAGACATATGTGTTTTTGACATACTATCAGACACTTCTTAATGTTCATACCTGAGTAAATGAATTCTCCGATGGATACTAAAGAGCCAAAAAAAAAAAGAAAACAAAAAAAAAACTGTCACCAAAGAAGTCTTCATTAATTTTTGTGCAATTTTACCTCACTCAGTTTAGTATTAAGATTACCAGTAACATACCAACTCCCCTCCAAAATAAATGTAAGTAAAAACACTATATTTCATACAACTGCATTCTTGCAATATTTAACCTTGGCAATCCTACATGTAGTAATTTAGGAATTAAATTGCTTATAAATCATCCTAACTCTACCTCAAAAAATCATAAAAAATCAACCCTTAACCCTCTCACCGCCAAGATCTTGTTGTTAGTACTCCTTACTGTCTTTCATACAATTCTTATCATGTCAGTTGGGAGAATTTGGTATTTGATCAACTGATAATCCCCTGATTCATATTTATCTTTTTCCCATTACTTGTCTGCTTGATATTGTTATAATATTGTAAGGAGAAATTGAGTCTTGGTCACTCAAGAGGGCTAAAAGGTTAAAATTTCAGTTACTTCCATTAAGAGTGTGTTTATATTTCTCCACCTAAAAAGGTATCACAGATAAAACGATAGACTGGTGGCTCATATCTTACTTTCTTTGTGCCCAAAAACAGCATGTGTTCACAGAAATGAGCAAGCCCTGGCAGTTCAGATGGATCACTCATACTACCTTAAATTTAAGAATATGTGCAGTAATCAAAAATAAAACAAAAAAATTAAAAGAAAACAAAAAAATTCAACTGAACTAACTAGTACTACAGGAAAATACTAAATCTAACCTTCAACCTTTTTTCAAAATAAAGGCAAAAAAATGGTTTGAAACATTTTAAACTAAAAGAATATTTGAATCAGAACATACAGAAATGCATGAATGCTATACTTAGAAATATATTAATGACAGCAATTAAAGATCAAAGATTTTTTTTCACCTTTTTTCTGAGTACTTTTAGTGGAGCATAATTATACAAAGCATCTTTTTTCCATGTTCATAACATATCTTGTATAATACATTATTGATCAAAAGCCATGTACAATGCTTTTTCGATGGAATTTCATACTAATAAGCCTTGAAATCTAGTAAGAGGGTAAACATTCTTCTGTTTAACTTCAGTCTAGTCATTGATGGCAGTTTTCAGCTTTTATGGAAATTAAATCCAGTTTTTTCGGTTTCTGATGGGTCCCCACCTGACATTTTTTTTATACTATAACCCCACTACGGTGTCTTTCGTGCAATTGTCGTAGCCAAGTTTTCAAATTAAACTCCAATTGTAAAGCTTGTCGTACTTTTTCATGGAAATCTTACCAATGTGAACATCCAAAGCTGCCGCAGATTTATCAGTTGATGGATCACTGATCACAAGAACTTTCATGTTGTTACAGAGTTCTACACCTCGGTACATGCGATCGTCACGCGGAGATTTCGTAATGTTGTTGTAAATTTTCTTCACCCCTTCCATGATTTTAAAGCAAGTGATTTACCTACTGTTACCGGTTACAACCAACAAGATGACCCACAGAATACGATACAACCCGGTCAGTTTCAAACTGCCTGTGGGAAAGTAATCTGAAAATTTAACTGCAAGTTGTCAACAAAAACTAAATGGTTGACGAAAGTGCTTTAAAAATGCTCTAGTTTGATCAGTTCTTCCGTCCTTTAGATTCCTTAAAACGACGCCATTATTAAATTAAGACTAAGTCAGTTTCGGTCAGGTCAGCATTAGATTCCATCCACCAAAACCACCTCGGTCGAGAGGGACTGAGATGGAATATTTAATGACTTGCAAAACATAACCGAAGATTCTCGGAAATCTGCAAGTGATGTAGCCGAACATTCGAAGCTGTAAATCCCATGATTCTTGAGGAACAGCATAGCGTGAATTTTAAGTCGCGAACCATTGCTTGATGGTAGACATGCAGATAATTTAGGATACGTCAATTCTGTTGATGAGGCGCGTAAACTTATTGCGGAATTTGAAACAGGATTGACGACGAAGTCTTCTTTCTCTAAAGCTGTCAAAGGTTTCGGGAACACCGGTGTATATATATATATATATTGATATAGCTCTTTGGCATTACAAAGCTTTGCTATCGCTATTGTGCATTCTCACTAGTTTATCTAGTTCAAGTCCTCTGGCATGGCTTGGATGATACCACAATTGTGGAATCATTCGGGTTGACTTAATGCTTACACCTCCTTCCTCGGACAGAAGTCACAAAATACTCGGGGAAGATGCATGAGATATGTAAGGAGCAAAAATTCGTTTTTTACTGGTGTGCCTTTCCTAATTTTGGGAAGGGAAGTGTTCAATTGCCAGCACGGCATAGATAGAACAGCTGGAGAGAAAAGGAAACGAAAATATGCAGAAGAAGCATTGTATATAATAATTTCTTTTTATCCTCAACCTTTGTGTTACTGTCAACTATGGCTTGCTAATTCGAAAGGTCAAATACATGAATAGGTCATATGACATTGATCTCAGAATACTTTTATGACAAACGTGATAACAGTTCAATCTTGGCTAAATTGTAGATGGTTAGAAGTTAACAATTATAAGAACTTTTCACTAACATATGCTGCTGACAAAGGAGAAAATATATGCAATTCTGCATTTTTTGCTTTCTATCAAGCAATCATATATTGGCTTCTTATCACACTATGACACTTCCGTTTTGTCACATTCCAAAAAATAACTTGAGAAATACACTGTCACTCATCTTACACTGTTATATTTACCTATTACAGAAGGCTGGAAACAAAGATTTTGTTTTCAAGAAAATAAGATTTCTTGTCCAAGACACAAGGAAGTTTGACTGCAAAACACAGATAAAAATGCGAGAAATTTTATTTTTTTCAGAGAACAAGGTAGTTCTACTCATGTATAAACAGAACAAATCTGGTTTAATAAATCAGATATGCGGCATGACTCCTTTTCTTCCATCCCCACTCAAAACAAGCAAACACACTTATAGAGGTTCCAGTCTGGTCTGCAAATGAAAAGGAGGAAGGTGATCACTGCAAAATTAAGCATTAGGGTTCTTATTTATAACATATTGATTATTGTATACTGATATCAAGAAATTAAGGTTGCAAGTAGCAGCCAGCTGAGTTATAGTTTGAGTTTTATCAAGTCCATTACTTTGTTAAATTTAGAGTAACCTTGTCTTGAGAGAGGGAAATTGAGGAGCTGTAATATACTTATCATCAATTAGGGACCACAAAGAAAAATTTGTTTATAGAGACTTTTGAAGGAGAGGGGTAAGACTTGTGACAAGCTGGCAGACATATACTAGATAAACTTTACTGCTAAATGGGTTACAATATAAAGTGCTCAGTATTTGGATCAGCTATGGCTCAACTTAAACTTTGCTTTAGCTTCAAGTTTAATCCTTTGTGGTTTCCTTTCTCTGTGTTTGTTTTTCAAGTTATGTTACACAAAAGAACACAAAAATGACAAGGAATGCTTTTGAATATTAAGAGGCTGGAATAAGCAAGAAACCAAAACTGAATTTTAAACAGTACAAAGTTAATTTGATCTTCCAATGTTATTTAATTTTAACCATTAATAGAATTTGCTATTTAAATTTATCCCCTCCATTTTTCTGGATATTGTGAGCAAAAACAAACAATTATCACAAAATGCATGGTATACAATGGTTTGATTCACCAATGTGGCAAAGGCCTTTCACTGTCTATCCATAAAAAGGGAAATAATTTGTAAAATGTAAGACATTCTGCATCTTGAGTGTATACTTATTCATCCATGTGAAATTAAAGGTTACTTGAAATAAATGTGAAAGATTTATAGGATTTTCAGACCCCTGATAACAATTTTTGATGTGCTGATTTGTTGTACTTAAAGGTTATGATTTTAGCAGAAATAGTGGAAGAAATTTCTGGACCTGGGATTTTGTTGCAAATGTCTGTTTAAGTCAGTTTAAGTCAGTTAAAAACTCTCCTGTTTCAAGATTACATGATTGCCACACCAGAACCTTTTGCATTCTATATTGTGCACCATGTTATGATTATGGTTTCAGTAATAAAAGGTGCTGACTCAAGAACTTTGCAAAATATCTCTACATACAAAGAAATAGATTGTGGTTATGTACTCCAAATAGCAGGTCACATCAGTCTTTTGTAAGGAAGTAGCAGAAATTGCTATGGTGGTTTTGGTGGATGGAGAGAAACATCCACCAAAACCACTTTATTCTATGTGTTATGAGTTATGATAATCATTATGAACGTTTGGTCGGTCAGCAATTGTGCACCATAAAAAATAATTAGCCAGAGCACTAACTGCTAATTATTGGTATAAATCTTTTGTCTCCCTGAACATCTAACAGTGGCTATAGCTAAAATTAAAAAAAATTTATTGTTGATGGTTTTGGTCAAAGTTTTGGTGGAACATCTGGGCACCTTTTAAATACGTGAAATATCTGCATAAAATTGCGTAAAATGTTTTATAATACTACAATCGAACAATAAATTAATACTTACCATTTCTTGAGTAAAAAGTTTTGACGCAATTTCCCAAACAAATAATACACTTAGATCATCGGGATAAGTCGGCATGTTATCGTAGCTTCGTAATTTTCAATTAGTATAACAAGTCATGAGTTGTCCATCATTCCATCTCAGTCCCTCTCGACCAAGGTGGTTTTGGTGGATGGAATCTAATGCTGACCTTTCGGTCACATCGGATTGCACCAGCCTGGGCACTAGTGCCTCTCGCGCCAAATTTGCTTCCATTATGGCAAAATTTTTTTGAGTTCTCTTCATTTTTCAATTAAAAGTATATTGTAAAAGACTTGAAGAGCAACCTCTCCGTCTTATTTCGATGGATCACAGGGAAGAACCTGATTTCTTACTGAGCGGGGAAACTGCAGGAGCCGACGAGAGTGATG